TAGGCCTCATAGAATGAGTTAGGAGGGGTTCCCATCCCTGCAATTTGAGGGGAAAGTTTATGCAGTTATTATCATTTCTTCCTTAGATATTTGATAGAATATTTACAGGCAAAGGATTATATATGTGTTTTATTTTATTACTTTTGTTATTGTTGAAAATATACCCAGCCCAGCATATCATCAAAAAAATGAATTTAAAGATCATGAAATTTCCCCACAAACTTTTTGAAGCCTCTTCACCCCTGTACACCAATTCCACAATTTCTACATGTGTGAACCAGTGACCTTGATTACATTTTCCACGTTGTGCAACCATTCTCACCCTCTTTTCCCAAATTGTTCCCTCCCCGAGTTTGTTTGTTTGGTGTTATGGATTGAACTATGTCCCCTAAAATATGTGTTAGCAATCCTAACCTCGATGGCATTTGAGAAATCTTCATTATGTTAATGAGGGCAAGATTACTGTGGGCTGTATTTTGAGTCAATCTCTTGAGATATAAGAGGTTAAACAAGTACACCAGTAAGCAGAGATGGGCAAAGAGAAAGGCCAAGCCACACAAAGAGTCCCCTGGAGTAGAAGCTCAAAAGAGACAAAGACCTTAATCTAGAGGAGAGAGAGAGAGGGAGAGTGAGTTTTCCCTCAGAGCCAGTACCCTGAATCTGGGCATCTAGCCTCCTCAACTATGAAGAAATAAATGCCCACTGCTTAAAACGTACCATCTGTGGTAGTTCTGTAATTGCAACACTAAACAATTAAGACCAGCCTTATAATTCTGTCTTTTATGTTCTGAGTCATCCTGTCCCGGGAGTTGGTTTTCGGTGTATAATGTGAAAACCAAAGACCAAACTAGTTGTGGGTGAGTTCCTTTTGATTTATGGCCAGCCGTGGGGTAAGCATTAGGCTGCTAACTGCAAGGTCAGTGGTTCAAACCCACCAGCCAGTCCACAAAAGAGAAGTCTATTTGCTCCTGTAAATATTAATAGTCTCATTATGAGTTGGAAACAACTCCGTGGAAGTGAATACATTATGAGAAAGTAGGGTTCATACCAGGAGTGCAGGATTGATTTAACATTTGAAAACTAACCAGTGTATTTCACCATAACAAACTGAAAAAGATCATCCCAACAGAAGTAAAAGAGCGTTTCACAAAATCTAACATCCATTTTTTATGTTAAAATAAAAGGTCTACACACCAGGAATAGAAGAGAATTTCACCAACTGTCAAAGGGCATCTTTTATCCCTTTACAGGAAAGGGCACAGAAGGAAGCAGAGCGTTTCAAAGTCACAGCACTGGCGAGCGGGCTGGCTGTGGGACAACACGTCTCACTCAGCGTGGGGATTGAGCCTGCGGGCCTGACGCTTGCCTGCATCTGGGATTCTCTGGGGTTGGTTCAATCTCTTTTCAGCTGGTGAATGTCCTTGAACGTGAATTATGCAATCACCTTTGCCAAAGGACATAGATATTTTTTTGAAATTTTAATGATATGGATGATGCTGATAGTGATAGCAGAAATAGTTAACCAGTGCTGCACAATCACTATGCATTAGGCATGATGTAAAGTTTGATATGGAACAGTTCACCAAATCTTACAACTCTAGATACAAACTACAATAGCAAGACTACTCCAATGTAATAGAACAGGTACATTTTGAGTAATCTTATATATCCCCCACTCCTAAAAAATATGCCAACCTGCTCTTTTGTTTCATTCTATGACAATGGGGGTGTTTAACTTGCTGCTCAATGGATTATGTTGTCATTAGGTGCGGCGGATTCTGACTCAAAGAAAGCCTACGACCATTGAGTCCAAGGAGACCCCGTGTGCCCTGTGCCTACCCTCACACGTGTGACTCCATCTTGTGGGGGGCCTTCCTCTTTGCCCACTGCTCCTCCACTTTACCAAGCATGAGGTCCTTCTCGAGAGACCAGATGTATGCTAGGAGAGATGGGTTTTTTGGTCATAAAGAAAAGAGACATAATGTTTAGGTACACTTACTTGTGTGTTTCCCATACTGAAGATCCTAGAGTTGGATGATACAATTCTCTTCTTTTCAAGGAATAAGGGGACGTGGGGCTTCCAAGCTCTGACTGCTTTTAAAGGCTCCAGATGAAGACAGCAGCAGTTGCATTCTTGCCCAATTTTAAAAGCAACATTAAACTCGTTTGCAGCAGTTCCCAAGCTCTCATCAGCGTCCACTGGGTGAGCCGGCTCCGAGCCCATCTGTGCAAAGCTGTTGGTCTTTCCGGGTCTCTCTTCTCTGCTGAGGTTGGCTCTCAGTGCCCCAGCTCCCACTGGGCGGTGTTGGCCAATTTCGCTGCCTGTTGGGGGCCTGGCGAGCAGCTGCATTGGCCTGGAGGAGTCAGTTGTTGAGGGAACTGAGTAAAGCAGCCATCTAAGTCTCTGGTTCTGCATCTGTGAGATGGATTTCCAAAGTCATCTCCCTTGAAATGGGTAGTGGAGAGGGAGGAATGGCAGGGGCCAGTGGCTTATACCTCTATGAAATATTCTTTATCAAATTAAAATTCCTAGAGCTCTCTCTCCTCTGTCCCTCCGTTATGGGTGGCCTGAACCTCAATTTCCTCAACTTTAAAATGGGTAGCATTATAACAGCAGGCGGCAAACACGTCTCATTTTTGTTTTAAAGACATGTTTCTGAGAATTTAAAATGATCAGCAGTAAGAACGATCAAGCTGAACATCCTTTAAAATTTCTAGGTGGGTAATTTAAATTGAGGGGGGGTGGCGTGTCAGAAAACCACAAGCAGCTAGTTAAGACTTTGAGTTTGTTTCTCTACGTTGTGCCTCTGATCGTTTTCATGTGGCGATGATGCTAAGAACACAGTTCACTTTCAAAGCCTTTGCTGAGGCAGCAGGATGAATTGGGAGGCCTGTTGAGTATCTTCCTGATGAAACAGTGTGCTTGCACTCACTGCTTGCCCCGCCCCCTCGCTGCCCACCTCCAGCTCAAGTGCAGTCAGCCTGCACTGAGGGGCTTTAGCCTTCTTTTTGTAAATATTGGGCAATGGAGCCAGAAGTCTGTTTTCAAAGACAGTGATGATGTGTCACTTAATGTGAAATAGGACATTAAAAAAAGATGAAATAGGACATTTTGTGCTCACATCTGACACACAGGGAGTTTCTGGATTAGAAATTGGATTCATTTTTAAATCTGTCTCTAAGTAGAAACAGCCTGTATGGTTTATATCTAATGTCAGTTAGTCAAATACTTGTCAGAGTAAGTAGTGCATCTTTCTGTGTATAAAAAACATTAAACACTTGCAGATACACCGTCTCTAACATAACAAAATTGTGATGTGTCTCAGAGTAGTGTCTCTTTGTTATTACGAGGCATTGAATATGTAATAGGCTTGCTAGGGGTGGACCACGAACGTATGTAAGAGGATACTGCCAGAAGGGACATTACATGGCACATGACTATACTGTCTAGAAATTAAAATTTTAGAAACAAGTTAAATGACTTTTTTTCCTTCAGCGAGTGCTTTGGAGAGGCTCAGCGAAGTCCAACAGGGTGGGTTCTGAGTCCCTGACCGTGCATGGCACTGAGCCACTGAGCTTCCTGGGCTAAGGGGAGTGACAGGGCATGCAGGGACTCAGTCTCTGCAAAGAGAATGATTTTTATTTTCTAACTGAGGGGTGGAGAACATTTGGCCCTCGGGCCCTATCAGGCCCTCCGAATCGTCAAGACCAGCTAACATCACACGCCCCACCAAAGAGAAGCACGTCCAGCTGGCACAGTCAACGAATCAATTCTGACTGGCAGTCACCCTGTAGGACGGGGCGAACTGCCCCCATGGGTTTCCGAGACTGACTCTTGACGGGAGTCGACAGCCCCATCGTTCTCCCAACCATCCTTAGCAGTGAATTAATGAAATGTTAGCTCTACTGGTTCAGTTGAGCATTTTGTTTGGCCCGCAAATAATGCTATAAATGTCCAAATGGCCCTTGGCAGAAAAAAGGTTCCCCACACCTGCCCTAAACTACAAGAAATTTGTAAGAAATCAAAATGTTCAGAATTGCTTATATTGGAAGCCATTTTCCCATGCATTTGGGTTATAGTTGAAACCATTTTCCATGCATTTTGATCGGATACTTCAAATACAATAAAATGCACCCATCTTGAAGGTTCAATGAGTTTTGGCAAATGCACACGGAACATCCCATTCACCTCCTGAAGTCCCCTCAGGCCCTTCCTGTCCATTCCTTTTCCCACCAAATAATGACCAATTGACTTTCCTTCGCCATAGATTAGTTTTACCTGGTTTATAATTTCATACAACTGCAGTAAGACGTGGACAGTATTTCTCCTTGCGTCTAGCTTCTTTCACTCGATCTGTTTGTATTTGTTTGAGGTGAACTTGTTTGTCACGCAAGACTGAGTCCATTTCCGTTTTCCATTTTCCTTTTAAGCCACTCAGGCCAGGGTCGAAGGATAAGGAATCTGGCGGGATTTATTTCGTTTGTTTTTTAAAGAAGCATACTGAATATATTTACTCAGCCTCTCTCAAGACATGGAATCAACAACAATCTCCTGGTAAACCTCCATGTGTGCATCTCTTTCTTTCCTCCCCTTCTCTGTCTGTCTCTCACGCCATCTTAGGCTTCTGAGCTTTCAGCTGTGCTTTTCCGTGTCATGACTGGCATCGTTCAAGGCGGAGCAGTAGTCCGTCGTTGTGTTTCTCAATTCTTCACACCTGGGCTGCTTGCTGCGTTACAATTGTCTGCTAATTTGAATAAAAGTCATTGGACTATTAGAATACAAGTCTCTGTGGAGATACAGTGCAGTAGTGGGCTGGAGTTGACTTGCCAGAGCCAATTTTGTGCACTTCTTCCCAACTCTGCTTTAGTGATGTCAGCTCAAGCAGTTTGAAATAAACCATGAACAAGATATGCACCACAGAGATTGGCAGAGGTTACGAATGAGCAGTTTTTGCCCCCACCCCCACCCCATCCTCCACAACCACATACCCACACAAGCCAGGGAGCTCGTTGTTATATATTTACCAGCCTACCATTTTTCTCAGGTAAATAATTTCTCAGGTAAATACGTAGGAGTGAACGTACTGGTACATGGTAGATCTGCAGTTAATGTCCTAAGAAGCTGCCAGACTGTTTCCAAAGTGGTTATGCTATTTTATATCCCCAATAACCATCTATGAAACTTCCGGTGGCTCCACATCCTCATCCATCTTCTTTCAGTTTAGCTCTTCGATGGGGATGCTACAAATAGAAAAGGGGTGATGGAAGCTGGAAGTTACTCAACAGTCAAGCAGGTAGAACTTCAGTCTCTTTTCCCAGGCAGAAAAGGCACTCAACAAAACATCCCCTCATCTTGTAACCTCCCTCTGATCAGTCTCACTTTACCTTGGAGGAACACAGAGGCTCCAAATGGACGACTAAGCCACTTTAAACATATCAGGATGTTCGTACTGGTGAGGAAATACTTAAAAATAAAATGCCCTACGAATCCAATTAGTTCTCTCCACAAAGGTAGAAAATAATGAAACAGGTTTATTACTAAGTAGGTATTAAACCCGATGTTGGGCTGCTAACTGCAAGATCATTGATTCAAACCTATCAGGTGTAGGGGAAAGATGAGGCTGGCTATTCTCATAAAGATTCAGTCTCAGACACCCTATATCGGGTCGCTATGAGTTGGAATGGACCCCACAGTAGTGGGCTTGAGTTTGATGGTTTTGTATTGTATGTCACAAGCAAGTCACTAAAGTGACCACAAACACAGAAAGAAGTCTCATCCTTTATAGAACCATGTAGAGCAGTGGTTCTCAACCCTCCTAATGCCATGACCCTTTACTTTAATACAGTTCCTCGTTGTGGTGACCGCCAACCATAAAATGATTTTCATTGCTACTTCATAACTGTAATTTTGCTGCTGTTATGAATCATCATGTAAATATCTGATGTACAAGATGTATTTTCATTGTTACAAATTGAAAATAATTAAAGCACAGTGCTCAATAACAAAAATATGTAATTATATTTGTGAAATATTTATTTCTAATTACAAATCAATGAAATGTTGTCTTGAAGCATGGTGTAGCATGGGTAACAGTCTTCAGACGGGGCACTCTACTAGTATGCGGGCGTGTCTGCATGTGGGCAGACCGGCTTGGAGACGGGGAGCGTATCTCGGTTCCTAAGATCATTGGAAATATGTGTTTTCCGATGGTCTTAGGCGACCCCTGTGAAAGGGCCCTTCGACCCCCAAGGGGGTTGAGACTCACAGGTTGAGAACTGCTGACGTAGCGTCATCTGCTTATACAGATAGTCTCAAGATAAATAATGTTTCCTCAAGAAAGAGGAATTGACTGCACCATTTTCTACACATAAATAAAAAACCAATCCAATCCATTGTCAGAGTTAATTCCAACTTATCAGGACCCTATAGGGCATAGTAGAATTGTCTCTGTGGGTTTCTGAGACTATAAGCTTCATCTTTCTCCTGTGGAGCTGCTGGTGGGTTTGAACCACCAACCGTGTGGTTAGCAGCCCAACCTGTAACCAACCCACTACTCCATTAGAGCTCCTTTGCTACACACAATTCATTCCAAATTCGCCTGGCAATTGGGCTGGTCACCTGTGTTAATTGCATTCCCCACCCCCCACCCCCAAAGGGAAAAACAATAAAAGTTCACATATTGCTATGACAAGCAGATAGTTAAAACTTAAAGTTAGGCAATCAAGCAATATCCCACAGAGACATTCCTTGATGATTACATTTCAAAGACACGACTCCAAGTTCCGTATGAAAAACATTCCACGGGGAGCTCAGAACGATGCGTACAAGAACAAAGAAAATGTCCTAAACGGATGGTGCTGATGATTGTACAACTCTTCTTGATGTGATGGAACTATTGAGTTGTGTGATATGGGAAGTATATGCCAATAAAACTGTTAAAACTAACCAACCAAGCAACGCATTCCAGGGTTGTAAGACTGGCAGAATGATTATATGGCTTTTAAAAAGACTTGCAAACACGTCAGAGGGACACAAAACAAACAAACAAAAATAAAGTGTTCTAAAGGAAATGCTCTAAGATAATAACTCAAACTCACTATCATCGAGTCGAGGCCGACTCATAGCGACCTTACAGGACAAGGTAGAACTGCTCCGGTGAGTTTCCAAGACTGTGTCACTGTAGAAAGCCCCGTCTTTCTCCCAAGGTGGTGTCCCAATATCGGACCGCAGCCAGTGCATAACCACTTCGCCATCACGCCTCCTCTATCAAGAAAAAGAGAGGGGAACGTGTCTTTCTCTTTTGATACTAGAGAATATTTTATTTTAATTTTTTACGATTTAGCCTTTTAAGGGGGGTGGGGGAGTTGTTGCGGAGTTGATTAGAAATGTGGAGTTGCTGAGTTGAACTGCTTCATAGGATTCTCACTGACCGACTTTTTGGAAGCAGAACGCCAGGCCTTTATTCCAAGAAGGCTCTGATTATCGGACTCAAATACCCAAGGTTGGCGGCTTTAACCTTTGTGTTCACCCTTATAATACCTCGATGTATTTGCCCACACTGTGCTCCATTCTCGGTCCACACTCTTCACCTGACCATCTATAGCTAGTCTTTCAAAAGCTTCATCCACCTCCTTCATAAAGGGCGTCTCCCAGACAGCAGGCCACCCCTCTTAAACCTTCTGACACACCCCAGACTTGCTGTTACCGAAAACTATGACTACACGCTCCCAGAACTGGTAAACACTGTAGCTCATTTGATCTGATTCAGCCTATTTCAAAAGCAGGGGAAAATGAGCACACCCACTACCTTCCAGTCGATTTGGACCCACTGACTCTATGGGGCAGAGCGTCCAAGGCTGCGATCATTGTGGAATCGGGTTCAAGGTGGGTTCAAACTCCTGACATACTGGTTAGCAGTCTCGCAGTAAACCACCAGGGCTCCTTAAAAATCATTAAAAACTCAATGATATTTAAACGTAAGGTTTATTCTGAACAGTTATTCTATATGCGTATAAGGATTTCTTAATTCCAGAAAATGCCCCAAAAGGGCGTTTTAAGGATTCCCCGCCCACATTCCCAAACCCTGAAGGTCAGCCTCAAGTGAACAACAAAAAAAGCCGTTCTCGATTCCATCACGGTGCAATTGGGGTTAAAGTCTATGGTACCCAGATGTCGCCCCGACTGCGCCTGCGCTAAGGAGAATTTGCGCTTCCCACCCCCACCCCGCCAACCCTGACGTTTCAGACAGTCCCTCCCAATCCGGAACACGACCCAGTTTCCGCCGGTCCTGCCTTGATGGGCGTGACTGGCATCCAATAAAGATGGAGGGCTGAGTCCCTCGGAGCCAATGGCGAAAGCCCCAGGGGCGGTGGAGGCCGACCCTGCGAGGAGGCCAGAAGACAGGCCCAAGATGGAGGCGGTGGCGGTAGTAGCGGCGTGACAGGTGAGAGCGGGCCCGGCGAGGCTAGGTTTCGGGAGCGGCTGTCTGGCACCGGCAGGGAGTCCGGACCGAAAGCTCAGCCCCAGGATGGCTGCACCCGGCTCCCGGCGCCCCCCGGCCGGAACCGGAGGAGTGGTTTGACCCGGGGCGCAACCATCGTCATCAGCGGGTGGGGGGTGGGTAGACAGACTAGGCGAGCAAGGTGGCCGGTGATGGTTTCGCCCGCCGCTAGTGGCAGCACGCCTGCGCAGAGCCCACAAGCTTCCGATAGGCGGAGCCCGGTCTATTGGCCTGGGTACCCTTGGTATTCTTTTAACCCTACCAAGGATCTTGCCGCCACGTCCTTGCTCACTGTACAGTGTGTGTGTAGATGCTGCACGTTGCCCGCTTGCCATATTCTGGATCAGTGTCTCATTCATTAAGAGAAGGTCTGAGAATTTCTGTTACCTCTCTTTAGCCCTCCTTACGCGTTGGGCTGCTAACCGCAAGGTCAGCTGTTCAAAACCAGCAGCTGCTCTATGGGAGACAATGAGTCGGAAATGACTCGCTGGCAGTAAGGGTTTTTTCCAACTTCCATAGGATCGCTATGAGTTGGAATCTGCTTGATGGCAGTGGGTTGGGTTGTGTGATCCAACATCAGTAACTTGACCCCCTGACAAGTTATCAGGGAGACTTGTGAAGTGTCATCCCCCCTTCCCCTTTCCTCTACCCTCCCTGTTTAGCCCAACCATGTCTCACGATCCACCATTACCCCAGTTCCATTAGGCTCAATGTCTGGTGACCTCCAGTATCCACCCTCCGACCGGTGAAGTCCCCAGTGTCTGCTGGCTCCCTATGAACTCCCCATCGCTAGTCGCCCCGGACCCACCGAACACAGTGCCTGTGATCCTGCCATCGGTTCTGCACCCCAGGGGTGTGGGATGCCCACAGTACCCTTTATAACACTGCGTAGGGGAACCCCCACTTTTCCCAAACTAAGGGCAGTAGCTCCTGATGCTCCATTCCTCATCAGTGTCTGTGCCCTCACCCTCAAACCCCAAACCAGACTCACTGCCATTGAGTCCCTGCCAACTCAGAGCAACCCTGCAGGACAGGGTCCTGCCCCTGTGGGCTTCCGAGACTGTAACTCTTGGTGGGAGTAGAAAGCCTCGTCTTTCTCCCGGGGAGCGGCTGGGCCTTTCAAATTGCGGTTTGCAGCCCACGGGCTGGGCCACCAGGGCTCCTGGTAATCCTTCGCTACTAAAAAGCTACAACAAAGTCTGTGCGTGTTCATCATGTCCTCACGCCCCCAGTGCAGTGTGTGCTGCCTCCCCCATTAGTCCCCAGCCCAGAGTCACAGTGTGGTGTGCGCTTGTGCCCTCTAGGACAGTGTGTGCTGGCTCCCCGCCTCCCACACCCACCCTCTGCACCAAATCTGAGACCGCTGCACTCTAGAGGCAGAGGGGCACGAGGAGGGGCTGAGCTGAGGAAGGTCTGGCTCCTGCTCCGCTTCAGGTTATCACCTTGGAATGTGGTGTGGAAATTAGGCTTCAAGGGGCCTTGTGGAGCCTGGAGATTATATTTTGTTTTGTTCCCTGCCACTTTGCTGTCAGAGCACTATTACTGGACCTCCGCGTTCCTGTCTCTTCTCCTAGGAGCCCCATGGGTACTGCCCAGCCCCACCTTAGTCCATCTTGACACAGTCCTCAGCTCCATGGAGCTGCCACGGGCGCCCCCTGCCAACGGGGCCGAGCCATCCCGGGCAGTGGGCACGGTCAAAGTCTACCTGCCCAACAAGCAGCGCACGGTGGTAAGTCCCATAGGGGCAAATCTGGCAGGGATTGGGGATCGTCCCAGTTGTAGGTCTTGGGTGGGAGGTGACAAGGGGTGAGAGGGGTTCTTGGGGAGGGGTTGGGGCCCCTGTTGGGCACTGAGGGCCCCCACGTATGCACATACACACAGGTGACCGTCCGGGATGGCATGAGTGTCTATGACTCTCTAGACAAGGCCCTTAAGGTACGGGGTCTCAATCAGGACTGCTGCGTGGTCTACCGACTCATCAAGGGGTAAGTGTGGCATCCCCCCTCGCCCACCCAGTAGGTGTCCAGTCTCCCGTGCCCTCCCCATAGTCCTCTGACTGCATGGAGACACCCATTACCCTTGCCTCAGTCTTCCGTTGTTCCTAGATGCCACCACATTGATTCCTATTTGCAGTGACCCTGTGTGGTTGGGAAGGCGACCCACAGGGTTTTCTCGGCTGTCGTGTTGACAGAAGCGGGGCCCCAAGTTGTTCTCTGTTTGGTTATTAGCCAGTTCCTTAACCGTGTGCACCACCAGCGCCCCTTAGTCTGCCATTCGTTCATTTCATTCATGAGTTCACCCATTTTGGCTACTTTATCAGTTTGCCGCCTTGTCAAGTCAGCAACTCCTTGAGTCCTTGGCCCAAGTCCTCCCAGGGCCTTCTCGCCTCCTCCCAGGGGAGCTCATCTCTTCTGTTCTTCGGTGCGGCCCGAAACCGTTTCGCTCTCTCCACAGTTCCCCCTACTCTGTGTCTGCTGAACTGAGCCTCAGCCCGTTTGGGGGATTGGTTTTGGGATTCCTGTGTTGTCTTTTCACCTACACCCATTGCTGGTTTGTCTGCTCAGTTCGGTGCCTGCCTCACGAGCCACCTGCACAGGGACATGGTCAGTCCCTCTACTACTGAGCTCTTTATCCACCGTCTGGGTTGCTCCTCATGTTATGGTCTTCATTGTCCAGTTACTCATGGGGGTGGTGGCCTTGGACAAGGCACTTTATGCCTCTGGGCCTCCGTTTCCTCATCTCTAAAACAGGAGCAAGAATAATAACTGGTTGCTAGAGTCGTGGTGAGACAGGAACTTGCTGTGGTGTGGTAGAACTTCTAGGGGCTCCCGGACTCCGACCTACCTTCCCACTCATTCCCTTCCATGTCCTGTGCAGGCGAAAGACGGTCACTGCCTGGGACACGGCCATCGCCCCTTTGGATGGCGAGGAGCTCATTGTCGAGGTCCTGGAAGATGTTCCGCTGACCATGCACAATTTTGTGAGTGCAGGGTGGATGGGAGGGCCAGCCTGGGGGAGGGGGGTGGGGCCAGTCCTTCACCTGCACCCGGCCTCTCTCACGCTCTGTCTGCAGGTACGGAAGACATTCTTTAGCCTGGCATTCTGCGACTTCTGTCTTAAGTTTCTGTTCCACGGCTTCCGCTGCCAAACCTGCGGCTACAAGTTCCACCAGCACTGCTCCTCCAAGGTCCCCACAGTCTGTGTGGACATGAGCACCGGCCGCCAACAGTGAGCCTGGCTCCCGGGGAGGGGCAGGACGTGGTCCGGTGGCCAGGCCCGCTCTGACAGGACAGCTGACCCGTGCCCCTTCTCTTTGTACGCCCTCACCGTCAAGTATCTACCACAGTGTCCAGGACTTGTCAGGAGTCCCCAGACAACACGAGGCGCCTGCGAACCGTGCCCGGAATGAGCCACTAACCCCTCCAGGTCCCAGGTAAGGTACCTTAGCTGAAGGGCGGATGTTGGGAGGAAACGTTCTGTGGGCCCCATATTTTATTCCTTTGCTTGACACTTTTTTGAATACCTGCAAATGTAAGCAAAGCGATTAAAGGCCCTTGGGCAAGTTCACCTGATCTCTCTGGGCCTCGGTTTTCTCATCGGTTGAGAGACGCTAATGATGTTCTGTTGCATAGTGCAGACTCATTTTCATATAAAACAGAATAGCATACATTCACCACATAGGGTTGTGATAAGGATTAAATGAGTTGAGACATGGCCGGTGCTTAGAACAGGACTGACATCACGTAAGTAAGCATTTCTTAATCATTTCAAGTGCTTCATTAATTCTACCAGTGGGACCATACCAAGCCCTTCTAGTTCGAAATACATATTATTTTGTCATAAATTATTTTTATTTTACTTCTTATGTTAAACAGGAGCCCTGGTGGCCTAGTGATTATGCATTGGGCTGTGAACTGCAAGGTCAGCAGTTCAAAACCACCAGCCAGCTCCACGGGAGAAAGACGGGGCTTTCTATTTCCATAAAGAGTTACAGTCTCAGAAACTCACAGGGCAGTTCTACCCTGTCCTACAGGGGGTTGCTTTGAGTCAGCATCGACTCAATGGCTGTGAGTTTGGGTTTTTTCTTTGGGTTCTATTAAACAGTAGACTGAAAAAAATAAAAAAATAAGCAGTAGACTGTAGTATTTATTTATTAAATGTTATGTCTCTAATATAAGTTAATATAACATATACGTTATTGTATTTTATCATATGCTATCTTTATGTTGTGTTACATATTTCATACTCATTTTCATATAAAATAGGATATCATACATTTTCATGTAATTTATAGAATAGTAAATGTAGAGTGTTATATTGATTATTTTAATTATGAATGTGCAACAAGCCCTTGGGTTACAAATGTCCAACTTTGAGAAAACTCATACTGCTTTAATGTTATGTAAATTTGCCCTCACTTTGTTGGGTAAACGTTGGACTGCTCACTATAGGATTGATAGTTCAATACTACCAGCCACTCTGCAGGAGAAAGATGAGGCTGTCTGCTCTTGTTAAGATTCACAGCCTAGGAAACCTCACAGAAGGTCCCTATGAATTAGAATCGACTCGATAGCAGTGGGTTTTGAAATGATTAAATCAACCTCTGCTAGCAACAAAATATCACAAGCACCTTCACTTGCTGAACATGCAGCTTTCAAATCATTGAAAGGACTCTGACAACTCTTCTCGATATGATTGGATTATTGAATTTTATGACGTGTGGATGAAGTGCCAATAAAACTGTTTTGAAAAAGAAAGGGCTTTGAGCCTTTTCTTGCCCTAACCAAATCAAACTTACTGCTACCATGGAGTCGATGCTGGCTCACAGCAGCCCTACTGGACAGGGTAGAACTGCCCTTGTGGGTTTCCAAGGCTGTGCCTCTTTACGCGAGTAGAAAGCCTCGCCTTTCCCCTATAGAGTGGCTGGTGCTTTTAAACTGCTAACCTCACAGTCAGCAGCCCAGTGCATAGCCCGCTAGGCCACCAGGGTTCCTTTCTTGTCCTAAAGTTAGGCTAAATAAGGACTGTCTGCACATGTTTCAATTTAAGTACCAATAGGAGTTAAAGATACACTTAGTAACAGGTCCATAACCAAGGGACTGCCTGTTTGTGGATTAATTCCCGATGGAGCGTATTTCAGGAGAGTGAAGTGAGCATTAAGATAAGGTTTTGTAGCATTATAATATGTGTGACTATAATAATATGGATCTTTTTGAAATGTTACCTTAATATGAAGTTCCCAGGGACTTTATATTAAGGTAATGTGGTAAGCTGCTAACCACAAGGTCAGCAGTTCTAAACCCCCAGCTGCTCCTTGGGAGAAAGCTGGGACTTTCTACTCCCGAAAAGAATTACAGTCTCAGAAACCCACAGGAGCAGTTCTTGCCTGTCCTATAGGGTCACTATGAGTCAAAATTAACTCAATGGCAGTGAGTTGGATTTCTTTGAGTGGCGGTACTTCATTTGAAGAGTTAAAGTACTTGGCTACTCAATTGACACTTTGAGACCACCCAGAGCATCTTGGAAGAAAAAGAACAAAACTGTGCAGCTATTAACAAGCCTTGCCGTCTGCTTCCAGAAGCTCAGCCTTTGAAACCCCTGTGGAATATGGTTCCCCTCTGACACAAGCGGGGTTGCTAGGAGGTGGGATCTACTGGGCACCAACTGCATTTGGGCTTCGTCCTCTCAGGACATAGGCAGCTCTCCGAGATGCTGTAGCTCGGTTCCAGCTCACAGCAGTACAGCTAATGCTGCTGCTTGTCTCCTAGTGCACACGAAAGGGATGTCGACACTATGCCCGGGGGCGTTCAGAGTCCCTGGGAAAAAATGGAATTAAAAGATAATAGACTTTGTCCTTACGCATTTTGAACCTCCTTGTACTATAGTCTATTAAATGTATAATAGCTTTATGAACGGGAGCCCTGGTTACGTAGTGGTTCCACGTTGGGCTGCTTAACCACAAGGTCGGGCAATTCAAACCACCAGCCAAGGGGGGGGGGGAAGACGGGGCTTTCTCCTGTAAACCGTTACCGTTTCGGAAACCCGAAAGGGAAGTTGTACCCTGTCCGATCGGGTCTCTGTGAATTGGCAGACTCGATGGCAGTGACTTTTTGTTTGGGTTTTGTGTGTGTGTGTTTTTTAGCTTTATGAAGAGGCTTGAGATAATTGTGAAAATTACCAAAATGTGACCCAGAGACAGGAAGTGACCACATGCTTTTGGAAAAGTGGCACCGATAGACTTGCTTGATCCAAGATTGTCACCAACCTTCAATTTGTAGAAACGGACTCTCTGGGAATGCAATCAAGTGATTCAGACTGCCAGCCCAGTAGCCAAGTCCCTTAGCTGTCTGTTCTGTCCAGGGACTTCCTGTTAGGGTAACATTTCCAGAAGGTACATGTTTTAATGATGTTACACATAATTAACGATGTTACAAAACGGAATTTTTTTTTTTTACAAAACTAAATCTTAACGTGCACAATACAATGAGGAATGTCTGGAGAGAGGAAATTGCATGCTATCTACTACATGTTTGAATGGTGCACCTAGTAAACCCTTCTGTATTACCCTAGCCTCTCCCTGTCCAGGTGGCTGGCCCTAGGTCTGTGGTTAGGTGTCGCCTTCTCAGGGAAGCTCTTGACACTGCCAGTAACTATCTGGCTCCTGATTTTGCTTGTGTTTTTTCCCTTTGTGAGATTCCTCACTAATGGGCATATGTCTCTTGTTTTTTGTTTTTTTATGTCTCTCTTCCCTCTCTGCCGGCTGGAACGTTAACGTCATGAGTGGGGGGGGGTGTGTCTTTAGTTTGTTTTGTTCACAGTGTGATCTCCAGCACCTGGGAACAGTGTCTGACACACAGCAGGCATCCACGAAGTGCCTGTTGAGCACATGAATCACAGTACTGTTGTGGGGTGGGGACTCTGCGTGGGCTCCGTGCGTGTGTAGGACACGGGGGTGCAGCTGTCGGGGGCTGCTGGTCACGACACACTGATTTCTTGACCTTTCTCCTGTCAGCTCCTGCACCGAGCACCGTGACCCTGAGCACTTCTCCTTCCCCATCCCGGCCAATGCCCCGCTCCAGCGTATTCGTTCTACGTCCACTCCCAATGTTCACATGGTCAGCACCGCAGCCCCCACGGACTCCAGCCTCATCCAGGTTTGTCCTGAGGGCCTGAATGAGGGAGCCATCCCTGCTGGCCTTCCTGTCCTCTCTTTTGATGCCTGTCCTTTTCTTCCTAGCTCACGACCCCGAGTTTCAGCACTGATGGTGAGCCGCCCCACCCCCTCCCGCCCTGCTTGCACCCTGAGCTCCACCCCTGGCCCCCCGCCCCCGCGTCCACTCACATCTTCTCCACAACCTCAGCTGCTGGTACTAGAGGTGGTGGTGATGGAGCCCCCCGGGGGAACCCCAGCCTAGCCAGCATATCCTCGGGGAGGAAGTCCCCACATTCCAAGTCGCCTTCAGAGCAGCGGGAGCGGAAGTCCTTGGCTGATGACAAGAAGAAAGTGGTAAGCTCAAGGGGGACCATTTTGGGGTGCACCCCCAATGAGCGATGCGGCCAGACCCCTCAGGTGTCATTCATCTGACCCACAGAAGAACCTGGGCTACCGGGACTCCGGCTGTTACTGGGAGGTGCCACCCAGTGAGGTGCAGCTGCTGAAGAGGATTGGGACAGGTTCCTTTGGCACTGTGTTTCGTGGACGGTGGCATGGCGATGTGGCTGTGAAGGTACTCAAGGTAGCCCAACCCACAGCCGAGCAGGCCCAGGCCTTCAAGAACGAGATGCAGGTGCTCAGGTGAGCATGCACGGGGGGGGTGGGGCGGGGCGGGGAGGGAGAATGGCAGGGACGGGCTCGGGTGGTACCTCTGGGAAAAGGCCCCATTTGAGGTGCTTCATGGGCCTCACTCATGCTTGTTTCTCCTTCGAGGAAGCAGGCCGTCCAATCAGGTTAGGAATTGCCTGTGTCAGGAGGGGCTGCACATGGGATTTGGACCCGAGGGGGAAACAGACTCTGGAGAAAGACAGGCTTTCTACTCCCATAAGGAGTTGCCATTTCGGAGACTGTCCGGTTGGAGGGTCTCTGTGAGTTTGTTGGTTGGGGCTAGGAAGCAGACCGCTGTGTTGCACTTTCAGTGGGTGTCAAAGTTCTCCCGATTTCTGCTAGTGATGCTGCTCTCTAACACCCTCGCCACAGGGTTTCCTCCTGAAACTTTCCGGAACCTGACACCGGAGACTGGATTATTGGTGGGACTCTGGGGGGCAAGACATGCTCAAACAGCCACCCACAGCTGTTTGTTTGAAGCTCAGTTCAAAATACTCCAGGCAACAGATTTGGTTTCTATGCAACAACGTATGGAGCCCTGGCTGACAGCAGCATTTGCTGCGCCCCAGTTTAAAGCCCTGGCTCAGTGGCTGGCTGTTGGTATTGCTGTTTGGGTTTAATAGTGAGGTGTGGTTACCCAACCCCCTAGCTATGGGTCTTGTCCTGGTCCTGCTGTGAAGTGTGTGTGATGATAGCTGTTCTGTTCACTGCCATGAACAGCAGCATGTTAGGTGGTCGCATCACCATGTGGGCTCGTGCTCTGTCCTCCCTGCCATTCATAGGGTACCATTATTATCTCTGTGTATTATGTTGTGTCCTTGTTATAGTAATTACAATCATAGCATAATTTAAAGAACAAGAGTTCATTCTATTCAGAAGCCCAGCCTAATCTTTATTTAACTAGTGAAATAATTCCTGTCATTAATGTATAATTAATATAGGATTAAGTCCTTCATGCTGAGGGACCCTGATGTTCCCTTTTTGTTCCTGTTGTCACTCCCACCCCGGGGGGGATGCGGATGTAGGCTTTCCTCTCTGTCGGTTGGCCCATGTTATGTTCCCCAGTTGATGTTAACATGACTGCTTGTGCTGTATTAATATTTATCCTCAGGATGGATGCCCAAGCAGAGATTCTCTGGTCGTCTCCATGAGATGGGGATGGTGTGAGGCTGTGACATGATATTGAAACCATAATCTTAACACTATTAACAGTCCTCGTGTGCTCTGGTATCGTCTCTGCCCTGAGCAAAACCTGATGCTGCCCTGCTGTGATTCGCGTCTGTGTTACCATCAGAATGGCAGTGGCAGGTTCTAAACTGGATGAAGGGTTTCTCCTAACTTTGTTGTTTGTTGCCATCGAGGGGGACCCAACTCTATATGACAGTTTCTGTAAGGTCCCCAGGTCCCAAGACCAGTGATATTTACAGAATGCTTACCATATGTGCTGTTCTAAGCATCTCACTGATGATGATTACGTACTTACTTACTTAATTTACTTACTCACTCCTCTCCATAGCCCTACAGATAGCTACTGTCTTCCTAGAGGTCCAAACACTGCACTCTCTACCTTGCCACCTTTTGCCACGGTGATGAGTAGGCCCAGTTACTGTACATCATCCGTGGCTTTGCACTGGTAAACTGTCCACTGATATTGCACTGATAAGGTCTATGAAGAAGGTGGTCATTCCACTTTCTCATCTGCCAAAGGGTCACAAGCCCGGGTAATAGGCAGAGGCGTGAGAGCCGATAAGACCTCATTGTCTCGAGACTCAGATGAGGAAGCCTGGTGGAGAATCGTGGCCCAGCAGGCGTGTCTCAAAAGTGGGCTGAATTTGGCCGTGATGTGGCCCTGAACTTCCTAGACAGGGTTAAAGAAGAAGGCCGAGAGCACAGCCATCCCTGATGTGCAGGGCATGACTCACAATTGCCGTGTTCTTCCCTGGCCCTGACAGGAAGACACGGCATGTCAACATCTTGCTGTTCATGGGCTTCATGACGCGGCCAGGGTTTGCCATCATCACACAGTGGTGCGAGGGCTCCAGCCTGTACCACCATCTACATGTGGCTGACACGCGCTTCGACATGGTTCAGCTCATCGATGTGGCCCGGCAGACTGCCCAGGGCATGGAGTGAGCCCCTTGCCCCTGGGGACTTGGGAGGGCAATGAGGGAACTGGAGGTGGGGGGAGATGGGGTGGTCCCCATCCAGTTCACCACCTGCTTCCTCCCCCACAGCTATCTCCATGCCAAGAACATCATCCACCGAGATCTGAAGTCTAACAGTATCTGCCTGGCCTGGCATGTCTGCGCTCAGCTAGGGCTGGGGTGTATTAGGCAGGCGGAGGCTTAGAGGGATGACTTTTGTTGTGGGGGTAAATAGGGAGGGTGGGTGCTGTATAGCTTCTTTCCAGATAGCAGAGTTGTGGATAGTGTAGAGGTCTTAAAGGTGGTGGTGGTGGTGGTGGTGGTGGTGGGGTTCTCTTGGTCAGGAGTCAGAGATGTGATTTTTTTTCGATCCTTTCCTTGGAGATTTTGGTCAGGATCTCGGGAGTGACCATTGTGGAGGTTAGACAGGGCCATGGGCATGGTGGGCTTGGGTGCCATTAGAGAGGTTTCCTAGTCAAGATTTACAACAGGGCCGAGAGGGTAGGTATTCACTGGAACGCTTCCCCTCTCCCCCTGCACACCTACCCCCCCCCCCAAACTTCAAAGGTGTGGGTAATTCAGGTGACCTTGGAGGACTTGTGGTCCAGGTCAGCAGCATGGCTGGTGGGGGCTGTGGACAAGAGCCCCCCAGAATGGGAGGTGTGTCTATTGGGAGTTCCTATAACGGCCCTTGACCCCCTCGGACATCTTCCTACATGAGGGGCTCACAGTAAAGATCGGTGACTTCGGCCTGGCCACAGTGAAGACTCGGTGGAGTGGAGCCCAGCCACTGGAGCAGCCTTCCGGCTCCGTTCTTTGGATGGTGAGTTGAGCCAGGCCGGCGCAAGGTGGGGGAAGGCGTGCAGGGGGAGGATGGGGCAAGCTGAGTTGGCACTTGTTTGCCTGCCCCAAGTTTGGGTGGCTGGATTCTTCACTACATGTATCAGCTAGTGTGAGTGTCTAAGAGTTATCCCCAGTGTGGCTGGTGGGATGTGGGACTCTGGGCCAGCCATTTGCTGACTCCATGGTCCCCCTGCCTGATCTGGCCCATTGAAGGCGGCTGAGGTGATCCGGATGCAGGACCCAAACCCCTACAGCTTCCAGTCAGACGTCTACGCCTATGGGGTTGTGCTCTATGAGCTCATGACTGGCTCACTGCCTTACAGCCACATTGGCAGCCGTGACCAGGTGAGCCACACATTTTACCCACAATCCTTTGGACTAAGGTATTCCACTCAGGCCTCTACACTACAGATCCCCTCTTTTGCATAGACCAAGAACATCACATTTCTCCTAGAGACTGAACTGAAAACTCCCAGAATCCTTCAGTCTGCACATGTTCTTAATCTTACTTCTCTATACCCCCCTCCCCCATGTCACAATCTTCTGGATCCTCAAAGTCCATATTCCTCTGAAGTCCCTGTTACACCTCAAATCCTTGTAGGCTGCAAACACCCAGAAGTCCTCCAGGCCCTTAGAACGCCTACAATCTTTTGGCCTGGGTACTCAAAATCTTCCAAGTCCCCAAATTTCAGAATCCCATTTCTCCTAGAAACAGAATCCTTTTGTGCTTCCAGATACCCACAGTCATCCAGGCCCTGGGTAGCCCACAGGTTTCAGGGCCCTGGGGCCACAGGCTCTCACTATTCCAGGGTCGAAACCTCGGAAAATTCCTTGAGAAACCCAGGCTGCTCTAGATCCCAGATAGCAACAATCTCTGGTCCCTGATCACACAAACCTGCAGCTCACACAGACAAGACCTGTACAGTCCTCTAGGTCCCAGACACTCACCAACCTGTGAATTTCCCCCATTTAGGACATTGCAGGCCTCCAAGTCCCCAGAGACCTGTCTGCAACCTTATGGACTCTCTAAACGCCCGCCTACTTCCCCAACTTAAATCCTTCTGATTTGTCAACAAAGATACTCTCTCAGTTGTCTGAGACCTAGAATCCTTGGGTCTATAAGATACTCGTGGGCCCCAGTACCCAGAATACCCAGGTTCCCCGCAAAGGAGCCTTCCAAATTCTTAGACATTCAAGAGCCCTGGGTCACCCCTTCCTGTCCCCCTTCCCACCAGATTATCTTTATGGTTGGTCGTGGCTATCTGTCCCCGGACCTCAGCAAAATCTCCAGCAACTGCCCCAAGGCAATGCGTCGCCTGCTGTCTGACTGCCTCAAGTTCCAGCGGGAGGAGCGACCTCTCTTCCCCCAGGTGGGCTGGGTAGGAGGGCTAGGGCTGGACACCTTGGGGAGGGGACTCTGCGATGGCAGAAGACACAAAAGTGTGAATGTAAACTGTCTCCAAAGCTCTAAGGTGTACAGTGTATGTGCGTGTGTTTCCCTATGAGGCTGGGGTCTGAGAGTGTTGGGGTGTCCTGGGAGTCTGGATATTCCTCCTTACCCTCATCTACCTCCAGATCCTGGCCACGATTGAGCTGCTGCAACGATCACTCCCCAAGATTGAGCGAAGTGCCTCTGAGCCCTCCTTGCACCGAACCCAGGCAGATGAGTTGCCTGCCTGCCTACTCAGCGCAGCCCGCCTTGTGCCTTAGGCCCCGCCCCAACTCCTGGGGAGCCCATCTCGGCACACGGAGCCCATCTCGGCACACGGTGCCCAGGAGCACCATCTACCAATGTTCTGTCTTTGCCCTGATACTGCCTCAGGATCCTCTCTCCCCCTCCCTGGGGGATGAAGGGGTCCCTATATGTTTTACCAGGTCTTCTGGAACGGGGGACTCCCAAAGACTGAGACCCCTTCCTCCATAGTTGGGATTGCTCTTGGCTTTGGTTTGGGAGCTCCTCCATCTCCAATGGCTGGGATTTGTGGCAGCGATTCAGAACTTCTCTGGAATTTGTGCCTGATCTACTTTCCACTGGATTTTGGGGTCCCCAGCACCCCGTGTGGATTTGGGGGGCACCTGTCTCCCCCCTATTCAACAATTCCCCCTTTTCTTCACCAAGAAGCACAAAATTCTGCTGGGCCTTTGTTTGTTTATTTTGCTTCCCGACTCTTCTTGTGGGGTTCAGAGCCGCAGAGGGGTGGGGTAAGTCCAGGCAGGGAGTGGAGGGTGGGGGAAGGTGCAGACCACACAAACAGCATCACTGCGCACGCATCACCACAGGCGCCACAATAAACGAGGACCACATCTGCCAAGCACGGCACAAGAGGAGGCCACGTCAGTCACAGACACAGACATCACGGCAAAGAGGGTGGGGAGGGGACCACTGGCCTTCCATGTGCAAAGGATTCTGGGGTGGGGTGGGTGGGTGGAGTTTGCATATTTAAAGACAGCTGTCAGAGGCAAGAATTAGGGGTTGGGGTGGCGGGAGTCCCTGGGGATCTGAGAGGACCTAGAAATGGGAGGGGTTCCCAGTGTGTTGAAGGAGGGGGAAGGGAAATCCTTGTGAGTGGGGGTGATGGCATTTGAAGTGGATCTCAAGAGGGGAGATTCATGGAAAGGGGTTCCAAACGTGGGGGCTTCCTAAGGGTTTGGAAATTCAGGGTGTGCTTGAGAGACCTGGAACCAGGGAAGGGGATTCAGTGGTGGTCGGACCAGAAGGAGGTTGCCTGGTATCGGGGGGAGCTTCCAGGAAGGACAATTGCACTCTGGAGGGATCAGGAGCGGAGATCTTCAGGAACTTGGAGGTTCTAAAACTGAGAAGTAGACCTTGAGGTGACTGGGAGTGGGGATTTAAAAGGACTTGGGGATTCCAAACTTGAGAATTGGACTTAGGGCCAGGGCTAAAGGATCTCAAGGAATGGGAAGGGGAATCTTGGAGAACCAGGAGAGGTTCTCAAGGGATCTGGAGGTTCCAAAAGTGAGAAATGGATTCAGGGCCCAGAGGGGTTGCCCAGGGATTTAGGGGTTCTCAGGGTGGGGTGTCAGTCGGAGAAGAGGCTGGCGAAAGACTTCCTCAGGCTGCGGATGGTCTCGGCTTTCACCTCGTCTTGGCTAAGGCTGGGCCTGGGCGGGGCTGGCTCTGGAAGGTTGAAGGCATTGGTCAGAGACTGGGATTTGCTAGAGAGAGACAAGGTGGAAGTGTGGGAGGAAGGGGGAAGAAGGAAAGGAAGGGGAGAGAAACACAATGTTACCCCAGGCCCGGCCCCAGCCCTGTCCCTCTGATCCTTGGGCTGTGCCTGTGACCTTCCCACCCACCCCTGTCTGTGGGCCTGGACCCCAAAGGAGGCTCAAGTCTGGGAGGACTCAACGACAAGGAGGAGCCTTGGGTCAAGAAGGTGTGATCTGAGACCAGCTAGGACCAAGGTGAAGGAGTAAGAATCCTAGGCTGGATCTTCCCTTTGAAGTCTAGGCTCGCTTGGGAGTTAACGTATGAAGGAGGTGGATAGGGAGAATTCCAGCCTATGGGTGAGGACTCTAGGGTAACCTGGGAGGAGCCTTGGACCAAGGAGATAAGGGTTGTGGTCAGGCTGGTTGGGGGTAAATCTCAGGGGGGAGCAGTTGGCTAGGGCAGGGAGGACTTCTGAACTACGGGGGAGGAGCCTGGAATGGGCCCAAAGAAGTAGAGAGGATGATGTGATGACTTGGAAAGAGACACGTGGAACAGGAAGATTTGGGGATGGACCAGATACACTGGCAGTAAAGGACGGGGGTCAACTGGGAAGAGCTGAAGTGACATAGGAAAGCCTAGATCAGAAGTTTGGGTGATTGGTTGGGAGGCCTCTAAGCACACATGGGACGAGGCCAACGGAGTCTGATGGGGAAGATTCTGAGATGAGCAGGGAGATACTGATGGTCGGGCTCAGCCTGAGCTGGGCTAGAAGATGAGAATTCCCCAGGACCTTTTGCAAAGGATCTGCAGTGAAAGTGGGAGTTCTTCTGGGAGCTTGGGCCCAGATCCCTGGTCTTGAGGGAAGAGGATCTAGGATTGGGGGTGCGTGGGGGTGGCTGATGGGCTGGCAAAGCTGTCATTTGGGGGAGATTTGGGTCAGGCTGCAGAGGGAGTGCTTAGAACCTCTGGGTGGGATGTCCATCTTGAGGTCATGGGAGCTGGGGTTACCCTATTGGGACAGGAGCCCATTTTGTGAGCAGCAGGGTGAGGGCTGCTTTGGGGGTCCTCTTACTTGAGCTGGGGGTGTGGGAGTCCCCCCGCAGCAGCAGTGGCAGGTGGTGGCACGTCCTGGCTGGGTTTCTGGGCCAGCTGTGGCTTGGTAGGACGTCCAGCAGGGCCTGGACCACTGGGCCGTGGCTGCTGCGTAGTGGGTGGCCCAGGGCGAGGCATTGGGCCAGCCTGGCTGGCCTGGCGTGTGGGACCAGCAGGGCCTGGGGGCTTCTGGGGTGGACCCTGGCGCTGCTGTCCACCCTGTGGGCCCCCGGAGGCCTTTGGTGGAGCTGGACCAGAGATGGATGCCTGACGGGTAGCCTGTGGGGGTCCCGCTTGGCGCTGGGGTGATGGGGAGGCAGGTGGACGGGCTGCTGGAGGTGCCCCAGGTCCTCCGGCCACTGGCCGGGACTGGCGGCCTTGACCCTGGGTCACTGGTGGGCCCTGGGACACAGGCTGCTGGGATGCTGATGTGGGACTTGGCAGGCGCTGGGGCAGGGGGCTGCCAGCTGGGGGTCCAAGGCCAGAAAGATGCTGTTGGCCCTGTGGTGGCGGGCGCTGTTGCAATGGGGGTCCCTGGCGCTGAGGGCCTGGGCCAGGCTGTGGAGGCCCACCTGAGGGACAGAAAGCACACACGTGAGAGCAGCGAAGGGACGGTGGAGCTGCTGGGACAGTGAGAGGAGGGGAAAGCGCAGCCCTCACTTACCCTGAGGTGGGGGGCGTTGCTGAGCTGGGGGCCCTGGGGGCTGCTGGGAGGTCTGCCGGCCCAAGGGCAGGGCCCCTGGGGACGGAGTCTGCGGGCAGAGGAGTGGAGCAGGAGAGAGGTTAAAAATAGTTGCCAGCCAGTGGCGAATCAGCCAATCCGGTTGACATGGCCCCATTTGTGACAGGAAGCCAGAGGAGCAGCTCGTTCTCAACGTTTTAAGTTGGTATCTGCCGCCACAAGTGCAGGACGGCAGAGCTCAGCTGGAGTGAGCCTAGTGCTTAGCAGCTCCCTGGCACTGTGGGACTCCCTGCCTGACCCCGGAAGGCCAGCCTGGCCCTTGTCCCACACCAGGGGCCTGACCTGGCTGTGGGAGCCCCGGCCTGGGGAGGCATCCCGCTGCCTGGGCAGGGCCTGGGTCATCTTGTTGACCACGAGCTCCACGATGAGCTGCTTGTCTTCATCCTGGTGGTCTCCGATGAGCGGCATGGAGGAGCCCACCACCTGGGGGAGGAAGGAGGGGGCAGTGAGGAGGAGAGCAAGCCGCAGGAGTGTATGTGAAGGGGGCTGTGACGGGCGCTTTCAGTTGGCAACAGGCATGGCAGCTGTCGAGGAAATGAGCTTCCTTCCGTTCACAGGCCTGGGGTTTATACTGTGAGGAAGACTGTCTTTTTTGTTGTTTAGGCCATGAGCCAAGAATGAATTATATGTTTTGTATGGGTTGAAAAGCATTTTAAAAGTGTCATGGCCAGTGAAAAGGATATGCCATTCGAATGTCAGTGCCCATAAAGTTTTATTGGAACACAATGACCCGTGTTTCCCTATTGTTTGTGACTACTGCTGCAAGGCTAAGTCGTTACAATCATGACCCTGCAGAGCCTCAAACGGGTCCTATCGGGCCCTTTATGGAAAAAGTTTGCCAAGGTCAGCTTTACAACTGTGCTGAGTGTTTTGTCCTTTACACAAGAAGTCCTGGTGGTGCAGTGATTAAGGAAGTTCAGCAGTTCGTTCGAACCCATCCGCAATTCCGTGAGAGGAGGAGGTGGCAGCCTCCTGCTATAGAGTGCCTCAGCGGAGGGAGACCCGATGAGGCGGTTCTCCGCTGCCCAACAGAATCGACTCAATGGCCCCGCATTTCGTTTTGTCCACTATAGAGGAGTTGACAGCGTATGGAACACCGTGCTCTTCACAAAGAACTGTGTGATACACGATGTGTTGAAAACTGATTTATGGGGGTACCACTGTTAACAAGATACCTTGTATGAAGTGCACTTCCTGATTTTCAAGGTATTTTAGAGTTCACAAATGACTTCCCTTTACCAAGGGCGCCCCTGTTTATGAAGATCTTTAAAATTGCGAAAGCATTTTGCTTCAATAAAAAGACTTCCCTATTTAAAGAGGTCCCTATCTATGGGTGTATCCATATACATATATATTACAAAATGCTTTGTTATGCGCCAAGCATATCCTGCTTTGTTTCCAAGGCTACGTCTTCACAGGAGCAGACAGCCCATCTTTCTTCCCGAACTCGCTTTCCCCCTTTTGTAGCTCACAGGATGCTTTGCTGTTTGCCAAAGACCGCCCGGTTCCCAGCGCACATTTACACTTCACCGAGGGCTTTGCCATTCACCAAGATGCTCCGTACACAGAGTCCTTTATAGTTTCACAAACGGTTTTTTTTTCCCCACCAAGGACACCGGAGGCCCCAGAGCAGCTCTGAGCTGCCCAGTTGTGCCACTTGCCGGGGTGGCTCAGTTCACAAGGCACTACTCCACCGCCTACTAAGAACTTCGCCGTTCGCCCAGGACCTTCTGAGGAATTGTGATGGCGTATTTGCTTATGGGCACTTGGTTACATGCTGGGTGATTTGAACCTACCAGCCAGGGATCAGGAGAAAGATGAGGCGGTGAAGATAAGCCCAGGGAGCAGGCCTACCCTGCCTTACAGGGTCGGACTCGATCACCTCACAGGGGAGCGCATGGCTGTCTCCATGCTCCCGTCCAGTCCCCTCTGCGCGCTCACCTCGATGATGTGGTCCCTTCCATCCTTGCCGTGCAGCGCTTCCACTGCGCAGATGTCGAGGCCCCCAAAGATCTCTGAGCACGTGTCCACCCAGAGCTTGTACCTGCCGAGACAGGGGGGAAGTAAACCTGTTGGTGCCTTACCTGCGAGCTGCGCCCCGCCCTCACTTACTCTGCCGGCCCGAGTCGGGGTTG